CACTCAGTGCCTCGCTTGCCTTCTCCGACCTCACCGAGGAGATGCTGGACTGCGGGCCAGGCGGCTTCGTGCGAGAGCTGGAGGAGCTACGCTCGGAGAACGACTATCTCAAGGTGGGGGTGCCGATAGAGGAAAGGGAGGCCGCGGGGAGGCGCCGGGTGTCACAGCCTCATCGGCCTGAGACACCCAGACGGCCCACTGTCCCACTACATGAGCTGGGAAAGGGGCCCAAACCCTCAGGGGCATCCTGAGGTCCGTCTAGGGCACCGTCACATCCCGGTCCCGTTGTATCTGGGAAACCCTCTCCTGAGGGAGGGACCTGGAAGAGGAGACTGCCCAAAGGACCCTGATTTGAGAAGGGGGCTTGAGAAAAGTACTTTAAAAGATACCTCCGTGGGTACTTGGGTTGGGGGTGGGTACTTAATGAGGGGCTGGACCTCTGATTCAGCTGCTCAGAGCCCCCACCTCCAGGCCAGACATCAGGCCTTTGGTTGACTCCTTTCTGGGACAGGCACTCATGTGCACTGCTGCCAGGAAGACCTGTGGCCATCTCCCGCCAAAGAGAGGCCAGAACACCATCCTGCGTCTTTACCCAGGGCTTTCCTGGCCCAGGCCTGTCCCAGCCTGCCTTTCAGGGCGGATCCCGTTTGAAAGCATGACATCTGGGAACATCCCCTTGGCTGGAGTCCGACTTCCGCCCAGTCTAACGGTCCCACAGCCCGAGAGGATGATGTCGTGGGAGAACCGGTTCAGAGGCAGCTTCCTAAATCCCAGGATATTGTCTTCTGCCTTTTTTGGGACAGGCCCTGTGCACACAGTGGCCCCATCGGTGCCTGAGGGCCTGTGCCCACCTCCTTTCCATGTTCCCAGTGAGAGGAGGGAAGGGCTGACATCTGAAAGGGGTACTCCCTCTGGTCGTGTGGGACCTGAGAGCAGCCTTTGCCTTCACACTTTCAGTGGATATGAGCACCTGCTGGGTGCAGACCAGGCTCTGTCTGCCCACTGCCTGGCACCCAGGCAGCTTCAGGGACAGCCCAGCCATTGTGTGTTGACATTGGCCTGGGAGACTGGAAGCTTCATGGGTTCTACTGCCTGGGCATGATTTTGGAAGAGGCCAAAATGTTACCTACTCTTATTAGTTGATGTCCTGGCATGACATCCAGACCACCCCTGGCCAAGAGCCGCTGAGTTAACGGCACTCTGCTGACTTACATCTGCCCAGCAACACTTAGCTTTGCGCTGTAGCTCTTCTGGCCAATAGGGTTTCTCTCTCAGTAGAGTTTTTGGGGTCTTGCTTAACTGTGTCTTTCCCTCCCCATTTCCTTCAGGATCTGCTCTCCGATGTGTGTTTAGTACCTGCTTGTAGAATAGAAAGACAAGGTCTGCCTGAATCAGGATAATCTACCCTTTTAGCCTCTAACCTTTCTTCAGGCCAGGCCTCAGTTTCCTCTTCTATTAAATGGGCGGCCCCTCAAGAGCCCATTCAGTGCTGACAGTCTGGGATTTGATCAGCTCCTGTAGTCTTCAGAAGCTAGTGGTGAGGAGAAGACAAGTGGAGGGTGGGTAGGAGGAGGGAGACAGGCCAGAAGGAGGCCTGGCCCTGCCCTCTCGGTCTCTGAGCTGCTTCCGTACTCACTGCCTGAGCTGCTGTAAACTCAGACACTGAGCTCCTCAGTCCCGTCTCCTGGCCCCGCTGCTCTCTCTGGCAAAGGAAGGGGGGTGCCACTGAGCTTTGCTTCAAGGTCTTCTCATGGACCCACCCCCATGGGCTCCTGTTCATCCCAAGAAGTCACCGGGCAGAGCTCTGGAGGCCGCCTGAGCCAGTCATGATGGATAAGATGAAAAGTAGTCCCAGAAGGCTGGGGATTGAGCCCAAGGTCTCACAGGGACTGGGACCTGGCTGGGGACCTCTCACTGCCTGGGAAAGGGCTCAGCCTCAGTTTCCTCATTCATTCAGTGTTTCCAGCTTCATGAACAGGCCTCAGGCTACTGTTAGATCTAGGGTCTGTGCCTTCCTGGCTGTGTGATCTTGGGCAAGTTACTTAATGTCTCTGGACCTCAGTTTCCTTGTTGTAAAAAGGTGCATCACACATCTTCCAACCTTAAGGGTTAAATGAGATGATGTGTGCAGATACCACTAACGTGCCTGGCATGCTGTGAGCCTCAGTGAGGGCAGCTGTGATCACTCCTGTTCTCAAGTGGTACGTGATGCGTTTCCACCACACTTATCATGTCCCTTGTGGACTCTGTGGGGGCTTCAGAATAGATCCTCCTCCCCACCGAAAGTAGTCCTGACCACTCATTCATTCATTCACCAACTATTTAATGCCTACTGTGTACCAGGCACTAGTGCAGGTCTGAGGATACAGCCATGGACAAGGATGGCGTGTCTGTTTTCATGGAAATGTTGGTCTAGTGGGGGAGACTGGGATTAAACAATAGTCCTACAATCCAGTACAGATTGTGATGAGGGTGGGGAGGGACACAGTGTGCCGAGAGCATGTGAAGGTGGAGCTGGGGGTGCTCAGGGAGTCCAGGGGTAGCAGGATGAGGTGAAATCAGCTGAATGAGGAGCTGGAGTAGGAACATTCCAGGCTAAGGGAAGTAGGAAGAAGCTTGTGGATTTTGAAGAACAGCATGGAGGCTGGAGAGAGGAAAGAGATTGGAAGGGAGAGCGGGACCAGATTGTGCTGTTACCACTGTATACACGTGGGTCAGTCCCTAAACTTCTCTAGAGCTTTGTTGAACCCAGCTGCCAACCTCACAGAGGCAAGGTGAGAATTTGGAGACAGTGGATAGGGGCCATAAATGTAGAGGCTGTTACAGGAGGTGTGGTTTTGTTCCTTCTACAGATGGATAAACTGGCCAGGGCAGGGAAGGGACTTGCTCCAGGTCCCAGAGCCAGTTCTCCAGGCAGCCAGGCGTGGAATAAGAGTACGTTGTACTCTTGACGTGTTTCCTGTCTCTCTGGGCCACTTTGCTTCCAAGGTGCAGGAACTGAGTTACCAAGAGAAGGACTGCAAATCCCCAGTGTATCCCTGACAGGCCTCGTGCTGCCTGGACTGAGTCCCAGGGAGTCTGGTGGGGCCCTGCTCAAGCTCATCTCCCAGCTGGTGCGGGGCACTGGGAACCGTCAACTGGGGAAGGCCTTGTGGGTGACGGCAGATCTCCTGTGGCATGAGGCTTGCCCTGGGGGCCCAAGCAGGGAAAGTGTAAATGGAGCAGCTGTCTCCCAATGAGATGATAGAAGGAGCTGCTACAGAGAAGAGGGTGAGCTGGCTGTCACTTGAGTTATTCACAGTTAACGCTGGATGACTTTGCATGGTGGGTAAAGACATGGGGTGGAAAGCAGCTTGTAAACTGTACAGAATGGTGCTAATTGTGATTACTTGAGGAGGATTTAGGGGGGCATTTATGTGGTGGTTATAGTTAAGTTGCCTTTCCTCAGGGTCCTTTCCAGCCAAGGAAGTCTGAAGGTTACTAACTTGTAAGGTTCAGGATTCTAAGATGCAGCATTGGCTGCAGAGCAGACACATTGACTGTTTGATCTTGAAAACCCTGGTGGTCTGAGGTGTTCCAGCTCCCCATCTTCACTAACTGTTGCCCATGTACCATGTGAGGACATGCTGAGAACCCACTGGGTATGGATGGAGCAATCTGAGAGTTGGAGCCCAAAGACTGGCTTTAAGACCTGACTCTGCCATTTACTCTGTGGCCATGAGTAAGTCACTTGGCCTCTCTGAGCTACATTTTTTTTTTTCATCTGTGTAATGAAGATCATGGAATCTGCCTGGGCAACTTCATAGGATTGTTTTCAGGAATCAGGGAAGTGCGAGTAGACGAGAAAACATTTTGCAAGCAGTGAAATCGTGCATCTTTTAGAGAATGTTATTACTGTTAGCCAACAAGCAGACAGGATGTCCATGACTTCATTCTTGAGGGAGCTGCAAGAAGCCAGGAGGGTGGATCCCCTTAGCTTTAGGATGTTAATAAATCAGGAGCTGCTCCTGGGAGGACAGGAAGGTGTGATCACATGCCATATTGAGTGGGTTCCATGAAGCAAGGCTGCCCCATGTCCTTGGAGGTTCTACATGTGAATGTTTCAAGTGTATCCAATCTAGATGTCAGCCCAGAAGGGCCCAGAGGAAGCATCTAGTTCAGCCCTAGTCCCCTTGTACAGTTGGGTAAATGGAGGCTCCAGATCACATAGCCAGGATTCCAAACCTGGGTGGTATAATCCTGGGTCCTCGTCTTTCCACAGTCTGACTGCAGTGTGAGCTTGTGGTCGCTGACAGTGTGTCTAGTCTGGGACATAGATTGGTGAGAGGAATCCTGTTATGTGCAAGGCTCTGGGCTAATTAAGCCCTTTACTCCTCGCAGCAATCCTGTGTGGAGGATTCGGATATCAGACCCATTCGACAGAGAGGAAACTGAAAGGTTATGTCGTGTACCTGAGATTGCACAGCTAACGTACTTGGGAACCTCAATAGACAACCCCAGGAAGCTCCCTTCCCTCGTCACTGTTGCACCCTCAGGAGGCAACCTGTGCCTCCAAGCTTCACAGAGCAGGATTCTCACTGGTTTTGTCAGTTACAGGCTGTGTAACGCTGGGTAAGATACTCAGCCTTTCTGAGACTTTTTCTTCTCCCCAGGATCATGGGGATCCTTTTCCACGTGATGATGTAGATCAAGTACACATGTTAGTGCCTGTCCAAGTGGTCACCATTCCCTTACCTCCTTCTCCAGGCATTCATTCATTCATTCAACACATATTTTCCAGGTGCCTCCTGGGTACCAGGCCCTGTGCCAGATGTCTGGGGCAGTAGCCAGCAAACTGTGAGCTCTTCGCAGCTCCCAGCAGCTGCAGAGGGAGGACTGCAGTCTGTCTGTCACTGGGTGGGGAGGGGGTGGTCATCATGGTCAGCAAAGCTCCTGGCTGGTTCCTACCCTGAGTCCCAGCCCTACCTGAGACAGCTGACAGGTGGCTTGGAAGAAGCTGCTCTGAGAACTGGGTCTTTAAGGATCCTCAGCCATTTGCCTGTCATGGGGGGAGCAGGGCAGCTCCAGCAAGATGGAGAATGAGATGGAAAATGTGAGGCAGCGGCTGATGAGG